CCCCCCTTATTCATCATTGTCACCCTCATTCAGTTCACGTACTTCACATGATCTTTCATCAAAACTATCGTTACAATCAGTAATGCCATTACAAATTTGACGCCAGTCAAGACATCCGCCAAGACATGAAGCATCTCTTTTATAACAAGTGATATCTGCGTCTGTCAGTGTTATTGCTTTATCAATAGAAACATGCCTACGACTAGAAAAATGAAATACGAGTGCCCTATCGAAAAATTCCTCTTTCACATCGAAAGTGTATTGGCAATATGCACCAAAGTGAAACTTATCTGTGCAGTTGCAAAAGTGAAATGCACTTAACTGATCATTGCCAGTTTGAAGATAATATTCATATTCATCTATAATATAGACTGGGGCGTTCCAATGAATAAGATCGTTACTTGTGATATTGAGCTTATGAAGTTGTTCGAATGACCAGTTTACACCGTCATTTACGGTACATCGTTCTCCGTTATTAGTAGAATATGTGACAAGGAGACAATAAGATGATATTTGTTCTGTTGGTTGTCCTTGTACTTCAACGTGTTGAATCGTCAAGTTTCCAAAGAAATCGGAACCTAAGTAACTATATAAGCAGTCATATTTGGTATCAGTCCACTTATCAATTATTGAATATAGATTATAGCCCGCACTGATGAGAAGCAATTGAGATAATAATAAAACCCACGTCAGCAGCATGTCTACTGTCTCCGTGATTAAAAGACATATGTCTACATATTCATTTCTACATAGTTAAAAGTAAGATCACGTTCATCAAGCAGAACAAGACTGTGTGATCTTCAATAAATGTATAATATTATGCGACATGTCATGCTCTTCTCGTTGTCTAATAAACATTTGAAATTGTAACAAAAAAAATTTTTTTAAAAACTTTAGTAAGTGAAGTCGGTTTCATACAGTATGCGTGAAAATAATAAACAAAATAATGCATTTTGCAAGCACATTATATTATTATTTTTGATACGTTAAGTCAATTGCAAAAGGCTAGATTTTATTCCATTGGATAGATACCATCTAACAATTACAGCTTAAAAGTATTTTATGTGAACGTGCTTTTCTTATTTTCTTGATTCTTGGCAGTATCACTCCAATTTTATTAGCATTATTTGCTACCTTCATTAAATATTGAATCATAGCATAAAAGAATATCGATAGAAAGGTACATGAGAATCAAAATTTATAGAATTAGAGGAGATACCTAAAATGTAACAAATACTCGTGAATAAAAGAAAATAAAATAGCATCAAATTAATGAATCCATATTTGATTTCGTCATTACAACAGAGAATAAATAATGCATAAATGATCGCTCTTGATTGTACATGTCGAAAAGTAGAAAAGTGTGTCCCCTGTATTTATTCTAGATAAAAAAGAATGCGAATGGGTGTAACTATTGGAATGCTAGACTTGACCTACAATCACATCTTCACCACATTCACATCCACACCCTTAAAAACAATAGTTTGTTTGTTTGTAGCTAAACACTAATTTATTTCTCATTAAATACGACTTGTTATGCACTTAAAAATTTGTTAGAACGTGAATCGCATTAGAAATGATTTTAAAAACTAATATGCTTAGACAATGGCTTCAGTCTGTTCTAAATATAAATTCTGCTAATTTATATTGTGAAAACAAACGTTTTAAATTAGTCTTTTGGGCTTTACAATAGAAACTCTTTATTTATATAAAAACTTGTAAAAGCTTCAGGTGAAATTATATACTGAACAACGTTTCCGAATATTTATTGACACGTAGGAATAAATCGCTTGATGATAAATTTCAATTTACTAAAGGATAGATAACTGATATATGGAATGTATAAAAAAATTTAACCTTCTTAATGCATACCATTCGGGCTTCACCACTATATAAAATTATTATTGACTCTGTGTAACAAGCTCAGAACGTATGTCAGAATCTAATAGTCTTTTTTTTCAAAAATGATGTCAATCAGTGAAATAATTAAAATGCGGATTACAGGCGTCAAAAAATTTAAGAATAATCATGAGAGAAGACTTTTTGAAAAAATGTCTAAATGACATGTGACATTGCAACCAGAAAAGCGGCGAGTATTTTTGCTTGTCGTTTAATCATGGAAAAATTGTTCGACTATTCTGATAAAAACAAGTAAGTTGAAAAAATGTCTTCGTATCGATTATGCTACAAATTAGATAAAAGCGCATAGCAAGTCGTATTTAATGAGAAATAAATTAGTGTTT